AATTGTTCCTCCCCACCCGTTTCTACCACTTTCTGGCAGCAGCTTCCATCTCTGCAGTGCAGTTTTCCACGCTCGCTGCTGTGCAGCGCTGTGTTTATCGGTGCTCAGTCTGGCAGCCAGCTGCTTTTCCCTGCTTTGCACAGCGAGTGAAAATGGACGCGTTGTCATGAATGCTCTCTGACTTTCAATGACAGGATGGTGATGTGGTTGCCCCTCATCTAACTCCACTGAAACAAAGCTGGAATAACAGAAGCAGGGATGAATACATGACAGCTTCAGAGCCCAGCTGCAAGCAGAAGCTTTCTTTCAATAAGTAAGGTGTCTCCTTTTGCACTGTTCAACCACCTCCTTCAGAAGACGGGCAGCTCTGAGCAGCAGCTCTTTTAAAATGCAATCCAATGAACTGTAAAAAAAAAAAAAAAAAAATAGAGGAATGCAGCAGTGCATTTTACAATACCGTGTGCTTTTATGTGTGCACTTAAACTAAGTGCTTATTTGGATTGAACTGCTACAAAGCTAACAGAGAACCTGTTACAGCAAAGCGAGCTCAGTTCTCATGTATTTTTGAATGTATTGGTGCTATTGTAGCAAGAGGAACTTCATTTAAAAAAACCATTCATCATAATGGCCAGAAGTGCGGTGGGTTTGTTGCTGCTTGTCCTGATCCCTTCTGAAGGCAATTGCAGCATTGCTGGAGCTGGTGGAAAAACTTCCTTCTCCTTTAATCTTTGTTATTCCACCACCTCTTGTTTTCTGTAACGATCTTTTTATTGAAGATGACAGTTCTGGTGTTCAGAAAGCTGATGGGATGCAGGCCTCTTGCTATGAAAGTGACCACACAACTTGTATTGAAGTAGCACTGCCCTGCAGTGGCACACAGCGTTTTACTGTTTTTATAGCATATTTTTGATACATTGAATGTAACTTTTTTTTTTTAACTGCTACACTGAACTGCAGAACTCCTCAACAGCTCCGTGCTTGGGGTGCTTGCAGGAAAGCAGAGCTCCGTGCTGGCTCTCAGTGTAGCGATGGCCCAGCAGTGGCTCTGCTTCTCCTTGCTCCCAGCACAGGCTGTTTCTGCATTTCTCTGCACTGGGTGGTCAGGTTCTTCAGGAACCCTTCCATGATTGCATCCCGTCCCTGTTTTCCTGGCCTGATGGTTGCTGTTCTGGTGTATTTTTTATCTCCCTTACAGACAATAAGGGTTCTTACACTCTCCCCTATGGGCAGTACTAGTGTGAGTGTTCCTAGGTGTCCGTCCCATCAAAAAGCAAACAAGGAAGACTTCTTCCCTGTTATACTCAGGTCTGAGGTGTTCTCTTTGAAGGCTGCTTTCTTTAAATGAAGTTAATTAATAAAAACCCATCTTCAAAACTACTAAGTAAAGCGTTCTCACCCTCAAAACTGCGAAGTAAAGTGTTCTTTAGTGCTCAGAAACTGGAAAAGAGCTTTGGATTTCTCTGTCTGAAGAGAGAATATAGAAGCTCAGCATTCAGTCTTGACAGCCAAGCTTTTGAAGCTAACTCAAGAGGTTGCTGTGTGAGAAGATGGTGTCACTCTTCTCCTGTCTGGTTGCTTCCTTGGGCTGGAGGCTGATGGCTGTGACTTGAGAAGAGGTATTGGCCTGCTTTGCAGATGTGGTCTGAAGCAGGCAGTTGTTGTTCTGCGCTCAGCTGCTTGTGAGCCTGCGTTTAATGGTGATGCAGCACCGCCTCTGCTGTTCATGTTAATAGCATTTCACAGCTGCAGTGTACCACGTTACTGCTGGAAGCTGGGGGGACCTTTGCAGAAGCTTTTGGAGTACTTGTTCTATGGTTCAAGGAATAATGTTACAGAGTGAAGGCATTTATCCCCATTATCTAAGTGAAATCAAGTACTGTTCCAGAATAATGTAATTCTATCACTGTTCCTTGGGTTTGTTTTGATGCTGTTATAAAAGGTGCACTTTATATTTGGGAAAAGCTTTCTGCTCAAAACTAAGCAAAAACTTTGTACTTAGAACTTAACATCTGGTAGAGTTGGGACTCTTTTCTTTTTCTCAGACATAATCTGAGCCTTTCTGTGCTGAAAAATAAATTAATAAACAACGATTTTAATATTCTTGCAGTGAATTGCAGTGTGTGAACGTTGTTAAAAACAGCAGTCTCACTGTGCAGGGCTAAGCACCCAATGAACTTCTGAAGGTGCCTAGAAATGATCTGGGGGAGTTAGGAGGATTAAAGTCCTTTTGAATTTGGTCGTTGTGTGCAGGTGGGGCTGATGGGTGGAACTCCGTGCTGCTGGGTTCCAGAACTCAGACCTCTCCTTCCCCTTCCCCCTTCAAGCAGGGCATTGTGGGGCTGCTGGGGATACATCGTGTGCTCAGAGCAGAGGCTGCTGCTGCAGGGCATTGCAAAGGAGGGCTGCAGAAGGCAGGTGGGCAGCCCAGGCAGAGCGCAGAGCTGGTGCACCCACTGGTGGAGCAATGCAGGAAGGCCCAGCCCTGAGGGGAGAGGTGTGAAGTGTGACCCTGGTGCAGGTATTAGGCAAACCAGCTGGTGGCTGGACCCGGTGGTGCTCACTGATGCAGATGAGCTCGTTAAAGAAGTTCAGATTAGAGTTGTTCTGGGCTCATGAGCTTCATGTTCACGAAGCAGCTTCATCTGCAGATAATACGAAGCTGAGATGCCTATGGCCCCTTTGTTCCCCTGCTGATCTGCTTGAAGCTGGAACAATCACAGCCATCCTGTGGTTCATGCTAGGAGTCAGCGGTGGGTGCAGGCCTGTATCACTGCCTCACTAATGATCTGGGTGATGGAGCTGAGCCCTCAGCAAGTGCTGAGGATCCCAAAGCAGCTGATGCAGCTGAAGGCCATGCAGCCATCCAGAGGGACCTGGGCAGGCTGGGGAAGTGGATGTTGGGCAGCTCATGGATTTTAACAAGGGGAAGTGCACAGTCCTGCCTCCGGAGAAGAACAGCAGGAGGTACCAGGGCATGCAGGGAGCACCCATCTGGAAAGCCACTGCAGAAAAGGCCCTGGTGAGGCCACAGTGTCCAGGTGTGGGCTCCTCAGTAATACAGAATTGGACTCAGGAAAGAGCCGCCAAGCAGCTGGGGAGGGTGGGAGCATCTTTCCATGAGGAGAGTGCTGGGATGGTCTTCCTGCCAAAGAGAAGGCTCCAGGGGATCGTATCACCGTCAGCAAACTGTGGAACGTCCTGAAATTGGTGGTAGAGCAGTTGCCTCTATTTCCTTTTGAGAGATGAACTAGAAACTCAGCCTAGGGTTCTGCTCTAAGGAAAGGGCAGGAGCAGGGAAAAGGTTGCTGGTCCAACAGCAGCCAGTTGCCGGTGCCGTGTGGTGTCCCTGCCCACTGCTGCACGCCGTGAGCCAGGAGCACAAGGCTTTGAACTGCTGAAGGCGAATGTGCCCTTTGAAAAGGTCTATCAGAACATTTACGGCCATCTCTGGCTCCTCTATTATTAAGGCCTGTTTCGTTTGGACTCCCATCCCTCCCAGCAGCCCTTTCTGGGACTGGTTCATGTGCGCAGCTGCTGTTCCTTGCTGCCTGCAGGATCTGTGTCACCTTCAGCCTGGAGCGGGTGAGTCGGGGATCAAAGGGCGGCTGCACTTTGGTCATTCTGTGCGGGTGGAGCTAACGGGTGGCATTTTCCATGCTGTTGGATTCACAAATGCACAGAAGCCCTCTCCTCCCCAGCACTTTCTGTTGGAATACCGTGACACTGCGCAGCTTCCCTCAGCCGCCCTGCCAGCAGACTTAAAGCAGTCGCAGTTGGCCGTTGCCCCGAACACCTGGGGAAAGGTGGGCAGGGAGATGTCAGCCCTGCCAAAGAGGGGGGACACAGAGCAGCCGGAGCCGCTCCCCCTGCAGGACATTCCATGGCCAAGCCCAGCCAGGGCCAGCCCTGCTTCATGCACGCAGAACCTGATGGCACTGGCTGGGGGTTCTGGTGGCAGACGCCCCAACGTCCCCATGGTGCCACGTGTCACGGCGGCGGTGACCTCCCAGTGTGGGTGTCCAGAGCTTTCCCCACACAGGAGAACATGAAGCGTGAGGGTACCGTGAGCCGAGCCATGGGTGGACGTTGGGGCAGGGCAAGGAGGGGCCTCGGGCTTCTTGGGTCTGTTTGTAAGGTCTGTGTGAGGCCTGTGTGAAGGGGATACACTGCGGGACCAGGCCGAGCACAGCTGGAGCCACAGAGCATCCTGCAGAACTTGGGAAAAAGCAGTTGTTGCCACCCAGCCCCAGCACCTCTGGGCTGGTAGCTTTGCTAAAATTCTTCACTTGGACTTGAGCCCATCAGAGCAACAGGGAGCTGTTTTATTTCACGGGGATTCAGAACTCCTCACTCATATCTTCGGCCACGGGAGACCAAAGAGTCTGGTGAGGTTCATTGCCGATGAGCACAGAGTAAAGAAAAGCAGTGCAGTCTGGGTGACGGGTGGAACCAAGCTCCATCGAATTACAGGAGCGGGAATGGCATGTTGTTTCTGCGTTAGATATTAAAAAGGGCAATTGGTTGGAAGAAGTAGAACATAATGCATTTGTATTCCATAACATCCTTAAAAACAGTTGATCTAAAAAGAAGAAATACTGTTTGTGCTAGCAGCATGTTTTAGAAACATAATTACCAAATTATGTGGTTAATTCTTTCTTGCAAAATTGCAATAGTTGTTACATGTTCCAAACAATGTGGGTATAGTGTTAGGGATTAGAAAACATACTGTAGGGTTGTTCTGCTAGGATAAGAAGCTCCCAGCAAAAGAAAAACAGATTTAGCAAACATCAAAGAGGACAGGGCCTCTGCACAAGGCCAGGCTGTGTCACCCCGTGGGAAGGTTGGGACGTGACAGGCACCAAGATCCTCCCCAGTGTCCTCCTTCCAAACTTATCTCTATGCAAGGGAGGATGAGCAGATACCCAGAAACAAGGACCTAGTGTGGAGAAAGGGTTAGAAGTTAATGAATTAATTAGAGATTTACGCTCAGACAGCGAAGATTTATGTTTGTCCAGTATTTGCTTGTTCAGTGAAGCGTCGAGAAGATTGTGAACCTAAAGTACTCAGCCAATGAGGAACGAGGGGAGAAAGAGATCAGCGTCGGGCAACAGGAAATAAAAATGGAACACTGTTTTCTGGGTGCTCTCCTGCTTGCAGGAGGCCCGCCATCGCAATTGCACTAAAATCTGCTTTATCAGAGATACCGTCCTGATACAGTATTTGGATATTTCCAACACAGGTTTTACCTGAAGCTGCTGCTTTCTGTATACAGCTTCATGGCACTGTTATTTTGGCAATAAGGACGAGGCTCAGAGCGCAGCTCTTCCCATTTATTGGTGGCCAGCAGCCTTTCACACACCAGCCCCTCTCCCACTGTCCTGAGGGCAGCAGCTGGTGGGACAGGGCCGTCCCAGGTGCTCACTTCTCCCCCAGCACACACACGGCTCCTGACTCATGCCCTTCTGGGGGCTGTGCCCATCTCTGCCAGGCTGTGTCCAAAGGTGCTGCAGGCAGGGCTGGCCCTGCAGGGCACCGCATGCACCACAGCACCCCGCTGCAGGGCCGGCATCCTGCAGGGTTCCGTCCGCACCGCCCTTCCCGGTGCCTGCAGGACGGGGCACAGCTCTGTCGGCTCCGAGAACCGTAGTTTCAGGCGCGTCCTGTGGCACTGCTGCCCGTCAGGCCAGGCCCCACACCTCCAGGTCCTGGATGCAGAACTCCCCCCGCGCTGAGAGGCTCTCGTTGTTGAAGGTCTCGCAGGGGCAGCTCCCTCCGTGGTGCAGATCCCCGTCCACCCACAGCCCAAACTTGCCGCTGGCACATGCAGAGGCCGTGCTCAGTCGGGCCCCTCCTGCTGAGCCGGTTCGGCCACATGAGCTCTGAGGCTGCCCCTACCTGCCCCCGCCGACCATCAGCAGGTCCGTGTCTCCCTTCAGGAAGAAGCTGTTCCTTCCCGTCCACCTGAACACCTGTGGGGACAGCAGCCATGTGGGGTTGTCCCCGTCCTGCCCCTGTCGTGCCCACACAAAGGGCTCTGTGCCCGTCGGTCATGGCTTGAAGCCTCAGAGTCCACAGAGAGGCCTGCCCAAGGTGTGGGTGCCATTTCACGGCTGTCCTCCCCCCTCTAGGGAACAGTTGCCATCTGCTGATGCCACCAGTCCCACGGGTGGATCTTCGTATTGGTTGGGACCTGGGGCAAGTTGGCCTAGCAGCTTTGCTTGTGGACAGACAAGTGCAGCTGCATTACCCTGGACTGTTCCCCAGACCCTTCCAAACTTCCGAGTCCTTCCAGCAGGGCAGGCTGTGGAGCATTGCTGGTCCCCAGGATCCCCCTTTCCTCTGGTCCCACAGCCCCTACCTTTAGCTCTGGGGAGAAGGAGAAGAGGAATGTCTCCCCTGTGCCATAAAAGCCACTGCTCACATGAATGGGGCTGGTGGAGAAGGCACCAAAGGCCTGGCAAAGGGAGAGGAGAGAGATGCCGGTGCTGTGGGGTCACAAACTGTACTGGGATTACGTGGCACATTCCCATCCAGTGAGCAACAAGGACAGCATCAGGTGCAGGTGAAGCCACTTTTGGTGCCACCGGGTGACAGCTCCCAGCCGTACCTGAGCCTCGGTGTCACGGATGAGCAGCAGTGCTGGGGAGCTCAGCTGGCCGGTGCACCGGTACAGGGTCCTCAGGCTGAAGCCATCCCGCGCAGTGCAGTACAGCAGGCTCCAGGGCTGCTGCTGCAGCCGGGTGGGCAGGTGGGGGCCCAGCTGGGGCAGAGCAGGCTCAGAGGGGCTGGCAGGCAGCTCCCAGCCACACGCTGCTGTTTGCGGAGAGTCCTGGCCTGGGCAGCAGCCCCTGCTTGTCCCCCAGCCCTGCTTCCCCAACCCTCCCTGCCCACCTGCAGCACGAGGGCAAGGCTGCAAGTGCTCCCAGCCACCTCCTACCCAGCTGGAATGAACCCCACCACCCTCACCCCTAGCATCCTCTCCCCACATAGCAGTCTTACCCTGTAGCATCTTCACCCATAGCATGTGCCCAAAAGGTGTCCCCGAGCATTCTCCCAACACCAGCCACGTTCCCCAGACAACACCCTGAGCATTTGTTCCCAAGAGGTCCTTCTGACCCTTCTCCCAGCCTCCTGGCATCCTCCCAAGGTCTCTGCAAAAATCCCCACCCTGAGCCCCCCTGCAGAAGGCCAGAGAACAAGCTCAGGGCGGAGCGGACCAGGCAGCTGGCTCAGGATGAGCTACACCACGACACACTGGTGGGGTGTGGGGCCTCACACCTCCAGGGCTGTCACCCAAAGGCACCCCTCTGTGGCTTCTTGGGGAGCTGCAGTTCATGAACCATCCATGTGTGACCCCCTTTTGCCCTCCGCAGGAAACCATGCAGGGGGATGGTAATGGATGCACTGTGCTGGAACACACGTGGGGCTCCAAGTGCTTGGCACCCCTTCTCTGGCAGTGCCAGCCCTGCTGGCTGCCTCTGCTCTCTGGGGGTAGAGGTGATGTCACCCATCAGCCTTTCACCGGACCGGTTCCCGGCATGCAAGGATCCCTCACCTCCTCAATCTCCCTTTCCTGCAGGATGCTGCTTGGCGTGCTCAGCACCAGCCTGCATGGCTCCTCTGGGGCTGGGGGTGTCACCGGAGCCCCCTCCCAGCCTGGCTGCTCCTCACTGTCTGGCTCCGTGCACTCTGTGGGCTGCTCCTCATCCTGGTCAGGCTGGGGGTGGATGGAAGTGATTACTCCCCTGGAACACCACGAGGCAGCATCCCCGAACCTGCACCACATGGGGCTCTCCCACCCCATGCAGAGGGCAGGGGCCGGGTGAAGAGGCTCGAAGGTCACGCAGACCCCAGGGATGAGAGACTGGCTGAGCCTCCTGCCCCGCTCCCAACACACACTGCCATTCCATGGCATGCTCTGGCACCCTGCCTGGCAGTTCTAACATGGCACAGAAGTTCAAGGGTGCGGGCTGCCCAGGGAGGAGATGGGGAAAGGAGGAGGAGGAAGAGGAAGAGGAGGCAGCAGAGGCTTCCACAGCCTCCAAGCTCAGTCCCACTGGAAGGGTTCACTGCAGTCAATCTCAGCTGCATCTTTCCCTGGCCCTGTGCACCAGGACACAGATACACCTCTGGCCAGGCTGCAGCAGGTGACGAGCCTCGGCCATCTGCAGATGTGTGCACAGCCCGTGCCCCCGCTTGAATGCAGGAGGGCAGCAGGGCAGAAGCAAGCAGCTGCTCCAGGCTCCCCGAAGTGGCAGCAGGCAGAAAATACCCCTGGGGAGCAGGGGACAAAGGGAAGAGGTAGGGGTGGCCCTGCAGTGCCCAACCACGTGTTCCAGCCCCACGCGAGCGCCCTCGGGGTCAGACCTACCAGGAGGTGGTAGTGGGCACGGAGTCCCCTCATCCTGTGTGCTCCTGGGGTGCTGCGCTGCTGGGGACACCTGGCACTGCCCCAGGTTAATGTTCACCTGCTCTGGCCCCTCCCCAGCCCCCGGTGCCTCCACCAGCGTGTCAGTGTGACGCACGGTTGGGTGTGGAGCCCTGCAGCCTCGTGGAGCTGGGATGAGTGGGCAGGTGCCCGCTGCCACCACTCTGGTGCCTGTCACTGCCTCTTCACCCTGCCCACCGTGTGGGCTCAATTCACACCAACAGCATGAGGATTCCTTGTTTTGGGATCAACCAACAGGTCATGGTCAGTGTTGCTCTTTGCAACACAACCGTTGCAATAGCTGTGTTAAGTGTCAACACAGCGCAGCGGGGATGGCGCAGCTGCAGGGCAGCACAGGGCACTCTGCCCTGCTGTGGGATGCACGGCCTTGGGCTGCACTGAACGAATGGGCAGCTGGGAGAACTGGTGATCCATGAGAGCTGGGCTTGATGACTGCAGAAAGAGGGAAGCACTGGGCTGTGGTGTCCCTGCCATGGCCTGGCGCTGCTGCAGAACAGTGAGGGACTGCAGTGAAACTGCGCTGGCCTCCTGCTGCTACTGACCCAAAACCCATGTTCCCAAACAGCCGGTACCAGGTGAGCCTGTGCTGAGGAAGGACTTTCCATTTATGCAAATATCAGACAGGGAAGATGAAGGTGCAAGGCAGCACCCTGCATGTTAGCAAGATGGCACAGTGGCTTCTTTCTGCCTTGCTGCATAGAGCCTGGTCCCGCAGCACTCCATGGGGGGATTTCAGGGTTTGCTTCCTTACCCACTGCAGATCCATGGGTCCTGGCTGCCCAGGGCTGCACCCAATGACCCCATCAGGCTCTGTCAACAGGAGTCCCAGCTGAGCATCCCAGCGCTTGGCATGGCTGGCACTGGGCCCCATCAGGGAGCTGTGGAGGACAGGGGTACCTGGTGGCTCCAACATCTCACCTGGCACCCTGTACCAGGAGCATCATTAAAGCTCAGGACCAGGCATCTGGTCTCTGCCTGCTCCCATAAAGGCCATCCTGTCTCTGTCCTTGTCTCTGGCCCCATCTCCTGCCTGGGTTCCACGTAACACCAGTATGCATGGCGTGGGCACCTACTGAGTTCAGTGCTGCAGGATCCCATCTTGTCATGGAGATGTGCCAGCTGTGAGGGATCATTCACATGAGGAGTCTCCCTTCAATTCTAAGAAAAAAGACCTTAAGGGAGTAAAATCTTTCATGGCTCTTTCAGAATTGAGCTGCCACAATTTTCCTTTCTGCCAAAGGCCATAAATGTATACTGAAGATCCACCAAGCATTTGCATGCCTTTCTGTTTAGGAGCAAGGATGCTCAGTGCGTTTCACCCACCGCGTGCCCTCCTGTACACCATTATCCCTGCTCAGGGCTGCTTTTGCATGCCAATTTGGGAGCTGCCTCCCGGGAGATCCAGCAGGAGCCAGCCCCAGAGCAGGCCCCTGGGCACAGCCACAAAGCTCAGCTGCTGCCTGCAGCTCTCAGCTTCAGTCTTGTCACCTCCTGTCACTGCAGCCAGCACTGCCTCCCTCCTGACAAGCAACTTATTTTCTATTTTGGGGAAGGAAGGAGGGAGCTGCAAAATGGGTGGTGAGTGGAAGACACACCTGCAATTACCTCTGCCTGTCCTCTCCATAGCCACAACACACCAGCCAGCCCAGTTTGGTGCTGGCAGCCCCACACCTCCCCTGGTTACCCCATGGTGATGCCTCGGGGGGGGCACTTCTTTGGGCAGTGACTGCTTCCCAAGCTGGACTGTGAGCATCTGCTGGGCAGACCTATCTGCAGCTCTAGTGTTCCCAGTGCCTTCCACGTATTTCCCAGTAGCCACATTTTGCATTCCTGTTTGCCCTTTGGTGCTGTTCAGAGCCTGCTAGTTACTTTCTGACTAAGCCCAGCCCCTCGGCTCGGAGCTACTTGGCCTGGAGCTACTTTTCCTGGTGGCGACGTGCCTGCACTGTCCCCTCCCTGTACAAAAGTAAAACCAGCCCTGGGACTCCCGCAAAGCACAGGTCACACCCTGAGCGCCAGGTGACAGACTGCGCTCCTCCCTCCGCCCCTTGTTCAACACAGAGCAGGCAAACGACTCCTAAAACTTGCACAGTTTATTGTGCTCTTTGCCATGCCGCACGGGGCAGCCCGGAGCAGCCCTGCTTTCGCGACCTGCGGCCCAGGGCTGCAGCATGGGGTGGCCGAGCCGGACTCACAGTAACACCCCCCGGCAAAAGCGCTAATAGCAGTGCAGTAAGGCAAAATTTTTAACTGTTAAAAAAAACCACAAGATTTGTTCATAAAACCGCCTGGGGAGGGCCTGGGCACAACGCGCTCTCTCCGTTGCTCTGGGCCAGGCAGTCCTGTTTCCATGCTGACAAACCACCAGCCCTTCTGCTTTTTTCTCAGCATGAGTGAGGAGCAGCGGCCGCTCCCTGCCCCAGCACTGCAGAAGGCTTTCAACACTATGGTTAATGGCCCAGTGCCACGTGCAACCAGCAGAGCCCTGGGGGTTCCCTCGGTGGGTCACATTCATGGGGTCAGCAGCAGCAGAAGCTCTGGAGAAAAGGTGTGAACACAGGGAAAGCAGCAGGGGAGCTGAAGGACAGCATGTTACAGAGCCTTCCACACACAGCAACAAGATACCTTCACTGCGTGTGCAAGAGTGTAACACTGCCGTGACTATCCGTATGGTTAAGCTGCTGTGAAACACCTGGAGCCCAACAACTCTGTAACAGTGGAGTCCAAGGCACCTTCTGAGTTTGGTCTGTAGGGAGATCTTGACACCTCCTGGTCCCCAGCCCAGGCAGGCAGCTTGCTTGTTTCATGTGTGTGCTGCTGCCCCAAGCTATCACAACAGTGTAGTGCAAGCCCTGCATTGCCAAGCTTTGTTAACACACAGAAATAAGGAGCAGTAGGAGACTACCTGCACAGCAGCGTTTCTTCTTCTGAGACCCTGCCACGTTTCTGTGCAGCTCCTCACAAGGAAGCATCCACTCAACAGGATAGAGCAGCTACCCACTACCCACACTGCAGTAGGAGACTATCTGCACAGCAGTGTTTCTTCCTCTGAGAGCCTGCTGTGATTCCCTGCAGCTCTTCACAAGGGAGCATCTACTCATAAAGGGGTCGAACACTTGCACACTGTCCCCTGCTCCTGCTTTCCTCTAGTTCCAGTTCTCAGTAGTGACGTGAGCGCCAAGAGCTCCCACAGCAGCAGCTCCTCCTTCCAACAGCTCATCCATCCTTGCTCACCTACTTGCTTCAAAAACTGCCCCTGTGCCTGAGCACACGGTTTTTCCAGAACCCGCAACAGCAGGCAGGCCTTTGGCACAGGCACCCAGATGTTCTCGTGTCAAACAGGAGCATTACCAGTAAAAGCTGTGATAGGGAAATTTCCAGGAGAAGCAAACATTTTCAAGAAGCAGTGACATAAAGAAAACAGTTAATGGTCTGAGCAGTTTCTGGTCCAGAGATTGAGCCCTGTTTTTAGCTCAAATGCTTGCTCCAGTTCCTGCTGGACTGCCCAGAACTGATGGCTGAGGTCTCAGTGAAAAGCACAGCTGAAGGAAGAAGGGAGATTCTCCGGTGAAGGTTCTTCTTGCAGCTCTTGCAGCTCTCAGCCTGCACTGTGTCCACTGCTGCAGAGGGTGCTCCCAGAAGAACCGCAGCCCATTCTTTCGGTAGGTATCATCCCCAAAGCCAGACCTCATCCAGGGAACCTTCCCCACCCACCCCATATATACCCAGCTTCACACGTTCCTTAAAGTAGTCCATGGCCCAACAAACAGTGGATTCAACCCTTACTTCAAAACAAGCATGGCCTCTGTCCCATCCTGCCTTGTCAGATGGAGTCCATGAGTGAGGTAGTACTCCCGCCGGAGGAAGGCATAGAAGTAATCCGAGATGAGCAGGATCTGCAGAGAGATGATCAGACACATCAGGGATGCAACCAACAGGACACACTTGTGACAAAGGGGTTTAAGAAGCTCCTAGGCTGTTCATCACAAGGCTTTGTGATCCTGTGAACACTCCTTAGCCACTGCCTGACTGCACAAAACCAAGGGAGGCTTTAATTTATCTAATTATTTTACTACCGGTGTGCTTTCAGATACCTCACCTACAGAGACAATAGTTCCACAAACGGTCCAAAATGTATGACAAAAGCAGGCCATCTGTGCTGCAGCTTTACAGACTGCCCCTAAGCCTCACCACAGGACTCCTTCCATGCAAATGCTGTCATGCAGCTCAACCCAAATGCTCCAAGTCTCCTGCTGCAGACTGCAATTAAGTACTTTTAAATTGTGGTTGTTTTTCTGTTGCCATTTCTACTCAGGAAGGGTAAGAATCTTCCAGGCAGTGGCAGAAATACCACAGCTTCAGAGGTTAGCTTCAGCAAACAAGTTTTAATAGTCTAATGATCTACACCAGACTAAGGGCTGAAGGGAAGAGCTGAAAAGTCAAGTGGCTAAGAGCAGCTCCACCACTTTCTGCCTCCCTGCTGTCCTGTCCTCTCCATGAGGCAGACAATCCTGCACTGCTCACGGACAGCTGGCTGAACATGAGCCAGCAGCGTGCCCAGGTGGCCAAGCAGGCCAATGGCATCCTGGCTTGTGTCAGAAACAGCAGAGCCAGCAGGCGTGGGAGGTGATGGACCCTCTGTACTCAGCTCTGGTGGGGCCACACCTCAAGCGCTGTGCTCACTGTTGGGCCCTTCACTGCCAGAAAAACCTGCAGTGTGTCCAGAGAAGAGCAGTGAAGCTGTGAGAGGTCTGGAGCAAAAGTATTATGGGGAGCAGCTGAGGGAGCTGGGATCGTTCGGCCTGGAGAAGAGGCTCAGGGGAGACGCTGTAGTAAGGAGAGTCGGCCTCTGCTTTCGTCATACATTTTGGACAGTTTGTGGAACTATTGTCTCTGTAGGTGAGGTTATCTGTGAAAGTCACAAGGTGACTTGTGATGGGATGAGAAGTAGTGGGCTTAGTTGCACTAGGGGAGGGTCAGGTTGGGTATTTGGAAGAATTTATTCAGAAAGAGTGATCAGACATTGGAACTGACTGCCGAGGGAGG